ATGGCCGCGGCGAGGGCGCTGGGCGGCAGCCTCGGCGCGCCCGCCGCCGCACTGCCTCAGCGTGGTGAGCGGCAGACTGGCACACTTACGGGGAGGAGCTGGAGGCCCCCGGACGGCCGCCGCCAACGCTTGAACCCGCCCATCTGGTTCCCTCTCCTCCCGGGGGACAGACCTGCCACTCCTTGGCCTGAAAGCCAGGGACCCTGGGACACACCTCATTTTCCCATTCCACTCCCCCCCTCCCCCAGATCTCCCCCAGCCTCCTCCTGAGGCTCAGCCTCTGAGGGCCCCCGAGTGGATCAGTTTCCGCGAGTGGCTCGCCAGCACCTCCAACCCCCAACCCCCACCCTATCCTGGCAGCACAAACATAGCTCTAGGCGAGACGACCTGCCTGGGGCATCGTCCTCCTGGACTAGAAGTGTTCCCGCTGTACCCTAGGAGAGGCGGCTGGGTGGTGGTGGAAGTGAGGTCCTGGAAGGTGTCATCGTCTGCACGCCAGTCCACACCCGCTCCCCAGCTCCAGGCTGGTCCAAAAGGAAGATGAATTATCTACAACAAAAGACAAAAGGTAACGGTGACCTGGCACCTCATAATAGACAATCCAAGCTACCACTTCTGTATTTAGGACAGCAACCTAGAAGTTGCAGCAACCTAAAATCAAAGCTGTCACCTCATCTAATGAGCAAATGTCTCCCGAAACAAAAGGAGCAAGAAACCCTGGAGTTTCACGTTAGCCTATGAATAGTTGTACTAACACCTTGTCCAGCACTCTGAGTAGAATGAAAACTAAGAATCCACTACCCGTAGGTCTGTACTGTAAATAAAAAAGGAGGCGAAAAGGTGATATAAAAGTACTTAAAGATAAAATGACATGATACAATGTGGCCTAGAGAAAGTAACTATTGTAAATTTTTTTAAAGATTTATTTATTTATTCATACAGAACTGGGGTACAGGCTGGAGATGTGGAGGGTGAGAGGATTCACCAGAGACAGAGCGGGGAGCAGAACAGGCAGATCAACGAAGTACACTGCTGAGGGAAGCAGCGGGTGGGTCAGGAGAGGTCTGCTGTGCTATGTGGATCTCCTCCGGGTGATCGAACTCATGCGGAAGTGGCTTTAGCTTCTTAGTGCTGTGCTTTAATACGCTGTGCCACCAGGGAGGGCCAGTAAATTTTTGTTATGACATAACTTGAACAGAAGACTGGAAAGGCAGCTGTGTAGGTATGCGCCTGTGAAACCTGGTAGGGACTCAGTAAACATTGGTTCAATGTGTACTAGGAAAGTAGGTTTGATATATGAGATTGGACTTGAAATAAAGTTTCTTATTTGAAAGTTTCATGATGAGGTGGCTGAATCAACGCAAATGGGTTCTTTCTAGGGGAAGAATAGTGAGTAGGGTGTCCATTCCACAGGTGCCAGTCTTCAGTCATGTAGCAGGAGATCCCAGGTGGGGCTCTGATCCTAATTAGTGTCTGACATTGGACAGGTCACATATGCGTTCATCTTCCATTGGCGGAGGACCAGAACACATTGCAGAGCAAAATTTCGTTTGTCTAAGCGTGAGTATTTCAGACAGAAAATCTAGGAATGGTTGCTGTTCCCAGGTGGTGCTGGTTTAAGTATGTGTAGAGTAAAGTGTATAAATTAATCATGTACTTTGTTCTCTACCTATTGAGAGGCCTAATCTAATTCTCCAGGGTTGGGTTCTGACTTGCTTTAAAAGATAGAATGTAGGGCCCTCCCTGGTGGCACAACGGGATTAAAGTACAGCACTAAGAAGCTAAAGCCACTTATGAATTTGATCCCAGCCTTGGAGATGACCTACA